TGTGTGTGTGTGTGTGTGTGTGTGTGTGTGTGTGTGTGTGTGTGTCGTGGGGGGAGAGGAGGGAGGACCCCTCCCCCACCAATCAATCAATCAATCAATCAATCAATCAATCAATCAATCAATCAATCAATCAATCCATCAATCAATAGTGAAGGAGTTGCAGGGCCTGCCACAGCAGCAGCAACAGCTGCCATGTAAAGTATGGCCATCGCAGCAGGAACTGACTGCCACATATAAGCAGCGGGCACATCAGCAGTAGCCACGTCAGCACCCGCCACGTCAGCACCTGCCACATCAGCAGCTGGCACATCAGAATCTACCACGTCGCGACCCGACACATCAAGTGCTGCTGCAAGTTTTTCGACAATTCACATGGCAAGCAGCAACGCCCCGGGGGGGGGGGGGCAACGGGAGCCGTTCATGGTGGATCCCAAGTTCAGGTGAGACCACAGTGTGTGGACATGGGTGAAGGCTGGTCAGGTCTTGGTTGGGAATTCCAAGGGGCAAAGAAGGCTGCGTTGCCGGTTGTGCCAGCGCGAGTGGAGCGGCACACGGAAACGGGCATGTGAGCACTTCACTTTCAAGAGGGCATCCTCCAGGTGTCCTCACGACACTGTGGCCATTTGGAGGAGATTGCACAACGCTTGTTGGGAGTTGCCTCCGCACCTGCTGGAGAGGGTGCAGTGTGGGATAGAGGAGAACAACGAATCTGATCATGATGCAAATGTGTAGGACATTGCAGAGGTTGGTGGAGGAGGTGCCGGGATTGGAGGACACTCTGACGACAGAGTTCGTGGGCAGCCCGACAGTGGACCAGGATCGGTGGCCATTGGCGGATCAGGCGGGTCGCGGCCTGCGATGCAGCAGGCCATGGGAGCAGGCTGTTCGCATCCATTGCAGCACGAGGCCCGAGTTCGTGGACTGACGAAACAGACATCAATCACGAGGTACACGAAGAACCCACGACAGGAGGAGATCGATGACTCAGCCTGCGAGTTTTTCGTCGAGAATGTCATCCCCTTCAATGTCGCGAAGAGCAGGAGTTTCAAGAAGTTCCAGTTGACATGTTACGGTCCACAGCCTGCAGTGAGCAAACCACTTGTGCCCACTGGCTACAATCCATTGAGGTGCTGGCTGCTCGATCGGTTGCGCAGCAAGTTGGAGAAGGAGGAGCAAGTGATCCGAGATGACTGGGAGGTGACAGGGTGCACGTTCATCACCGATGACACCACATACATTTGTGGGTGATCGTTGATGAACTACATCCTCGCAGGACGTTTGAAGCCAGTTTTCGTCAAGTGTGAGGATATGAGCGTCGGGGACAAGGATGCACCTGCTGTTGTTGCGGGGTGGAAGCAGTTCTTCAGGGAGTTTGGCGTGGAGAAGATCACAGCGATCTGCACCGACTCGTTGGCGGGGAACAAGAGTGTAGCCAGGATGTTGAGGGAGGATCCAGAGTTCAGTCAAATTTACTGGATCCCTTGCACAGCCCACTGTATGGACCTACTCCTGCACGACATTTGCGGCAAGACATGGGCGGCAGAGGTCATCGACAGGGCGAACAAGGTCGTCAACTTCTTCAGGGTTCATAGGTGGCCACGTTCACACCTGAGGACACACTTGATAAAGTACCCGGAGTTGAAGGCCACCTGTCTCCTTCGGCCAGCATCGACGAGGTTCGGGACCCACTACGTGATGCTTCACAGACTTCAGGTGTGCGAGAAGGTGTTGGTGCATATTGTGACTGGGTGCCCCTGGGAGAGCATGGTGTGGCGAGGAGAAATCAGAGTAAAAGCGTACGCAATTGAGGAGTTGATTCTTGACAAAGCCTTTTGGGCTGACGTCAAGAAGTTGATAGCCCTGATGAAGGGCCCGTACGATGTGTTGTGAGAGGTGGACAAGGACGTTCATTGCTTGTCACGCATCTACGACATGGCTTCTCGGCTGCAGGGCATCGTTCGCTCTGCCCCCCTTACTGCAGATGAGCAGGATGTTGTCCTCCATGATGTCGGCAAGAGGACTGACATGCTTCTCAGCCCCATACACGTTGTGGCACGACTGCTAGATCCTCAGTTGAGGGACATTGCAGTCTTCAGCGACGTTGAGCTCATGGCGCAGTTCGACAGTGTTATTGAGAGGCTGATCAGCAAGAAGGGGTCGAAGAGGTTCGATGACTGCAAGGACCAGTTGTACGACTTCCAGTTTGGGAGAGGACTCTTTGGCGACCCGGCAGTGTTGAGGAGGGCAGCAAAGGACAACCCTATGTTGTGGTGGGAGGCGCATGGTGTTGGGCATGCAGAGATCAGGGAGTTGACAATCAGGGTCCTTTCCATCTGGATGACATCCTCTGTGGCTGAGAGGAATTGGAGCACCTGGGCTCTCGTGCAGACGAAGTCCAGGAACAAGTTGCACCACGAGCGCACTGAGAAGTTGGTCTATTCACATTGGAGCCTGAGGCTCAAGAGCAAGGGGGAAGGATGGGCCCACCAAAGCAGGAGGGTGGTTGGGGTTGGAGAAGGATTGGGTGGACGAGTACTTGGAGGGTGACATGGTGAATGTCACTGACGCCGTTGACGATGGTGAGGCCGGTGGAAAAACCGCTGGTTCCGCTGCAGGCAGCACCAACGTTGCCCGTGCTCCATCTACTACGAGGTCGGCATCTGTGCACAGGTTGGGGGAGATAGAGGAGGTTGCGGAGGGGGACGAGGTTGAGGATGATGCGGGTGAGGAGGATGAGAGTGACGAGGACGAGGACGACGTTCCTGGCGAGGAGTGGGTGGACGAGAGGTCGGACTCTGATAGATCGTGGACGAGGAGGGAGGAGATCCTTCCGTATGTGTCGGGCACACGCTTCAGTGATCGATTGAGAGACCAGCGTGCACAAAGGGAGCAGCAGGGGCATCACGAGGAGGACCATCCGTTGGAGGAGTACCTGCTGGAGCACCAGCAGGAGGAGGAGCAGTCGCAGGAGCGGCAGCAGGAGGAGCACCCTCAGGACGAGGAGAAGCACCCCCAGGACGAGGAGCAGCAGCAACAAGACGAGCAGCAGCCGCAGTGGGAGCACCAGCAGCAGGAGGAGGAGCAGCAGCAGCAGCAGGAGGAGGAGCACCAGCAGCAGGAGGGGGAGGAGCAGCAGCAGCCGAAGGGGGAGGCAGAGGATGAGCACCAACAACAGGAGGGGGAGGAGCACCAGCAGCTAGAGCCCGAGGGCGAGCAGGGGCGGAAGCAGGTGGATGCATTCTACGGTCCTGGACGACCTTCACAGCTGCTCGGCCGCCATGGAGCACATCCCGGGACTGTATGGGATCCTCTTGCGTATCGAGGTGGACGAGGTGGACGCGGTAGACGTGGCAGAGGTCACCCACCTTCTGCACGAGGGCGGCAGCCTGCCACACGCGGAAGAGGGCGCCCCAAGTTAGTAAGACCACAAGAGACACAACCATCTTCCGATCCTGCAGAGGAGGAGTCTGATGATGACTCTCGTGAGAGTGCTCCTCTGTGCAAGAGGAAGAGGCAGAGGACAGTGCCTGATGAGGAGGAGAGAGAGACACATTGAGAGAGAGAGAGAGAGAGAGAGAGAGAGAGAGAGAGAGAGAGAGAGATGGATGGGTGGACTCTTGTGTTCCTCTTTGAAGGAAGCATGTTCTTGAGTACCTGTGCAGCGTGAATGGTCTTTGTCTTTGCATGTAGTCCCTTCCGCAATATCGTGCATAGACATGAATGTTATGCATAGTCTGTGTATGCGTGTGTGTGGGTGGGTGGGTAGGTGGGTGTAAGTGTTTGTGTTTGTGTGTGTATGTGTGTGTTTTTGAGAGTGAGTGTGAGTGTGTGTGAGTGTGAGTGTGTGTGTGTGTGTGTGTCTGTATCACAGTCTGTTGGGCAGCACACAGACTGTCAAAGTCTGGTGGGCAGCACACACAGAGTGTGACAGAGTCTGTGTGCCCCTACCGGACAGACTCTGTCACAGTCAGTGTGCTGCCCAACAGATTGTGATAGGTTGTCGGTCACACAGTCTGTGTATGCGTGTGTAAGTGTGGGTAGGAAGGTGGGTGTAAGTGTTTGTGTTTGTGTGTGTATGTGTGTGTGTTTGAGAGTGAGTGTGAGTGTGTGTGAGTGTGAGTGTGTGTGTGTGTGTGTGTGTGTGTGTGTGTGTGCTGGGCAGCACACAGACTGTCACAGTCTGGTGGGCAGCACACACAGAGTGTGACAGAGTCTGTGTGCCCCTACCGGASAGACTCTGTCACAGTCTGTGTGCTGCCCAACAGACTGTGACAGACTGTCGGTCACACAGTCTGTGTATGCATGTGTGTGTGTGGGTGGGTAGGTAGGTACAAGTGTTTGTGTTTGTGTGTGTATGTGTGTGTGTTTGAGAGTGAGTGTGTGTGTGAGTGTGAGTGTGTGTGTGTGTGTGTGTCATAGTATGTGTGTGTGTGTGTGTGTGTGTGTGTCTGTGTGCTGGGCAGCACACAGACTGTCACAGTCTGGTGGGCAGCACACACAGAGTGTGACAGAGTCTGTGTGCCCCTACCGAACAGACTCTGTCACATTATGTGTGTTGCCCAACAAATTGTGACACACTGTCGGTCACACAGACTGTGACAGAGTCTGTCACACAGGCTGCCGCAAACTCTGTGTGAGCTGGCCCCCACCGATCTGTGTGACCGACAGTCTTTCACAGTCGGGTGAGCAGCACACACAAAGTGTGACAGAGTCTGTGTGACCGTAGCGGACAGACTCTGTCACAGTCTGTGTGCTGCCCAGCATATTGTGATAGACTGTGACAGAGTGTTTGCCCACCAGTGTGTGTGTGTGTGTGTGTGTGTGTGTGTGTGTGTGTGTGTGTGTGTGAAGGATACCCCCCCCCCCCCTTCACCCCGCCCCCCACCCCTCCTCCCCCACCAAGCCATCCCCACCCCCCCCGCCCCCAAACCCCTATGTAGTATGTATATATAAAAAATATATATATATGAAAAATAAAATTTTGCGTTCGGGTTCGGTGAGTTTCAGCCCGTGTTCGGGTTCGGTATTTTACGTTCGGGTTCGGTCACCGAACCTGAACACGATGCTACGCAGGTTAAAACCGACATATTTTTTCTAAATTCACGAAATTGAGCGTACAAAAAACAGCACATTTATTAAGTGTTTTTTTGTCCCATGACGTCGGAAGATCATATCATCGGGTGTCATGGCGAAACTCCATAATCTGATCACAAACACACACACACACTTAGAGAGAGAGAGAGAGAGAGAGAGAGAGAGCAGACATTTCGTTAAAACTAACAGATTTTCTTAAATTCGCGAAATCGAGCGTACGAAAAAAACAACATTTTTCAGTGTTTTTTTTGACCCATGACGTCGGATGATCAGATCATCGGGTGTCATGGCGACACTCAATGATCTGATCAGAGAGAGAGAGAAAAAAAAAAAAAAAAAACATTTTTCAGTGTTTTTTTTGGCCCATGACGT